TATACATATATGTGTATATATATATATACATATACATATATATATACACATATATATACATATACATATATATACACATATATATATATGTGTATATATATATATATACATATATATACGTATATATATATATTTTGCAGCAGCATTTTCTGAAGTAGAAGTATCTTCAGTTTATCACAGTTTGTTCGATCTCTGCAGGTGAAGCTGCAGGAGCAGAATCTGGCACAGAGATGGGAGGAGCATCAGGCAGCTGTGACCCTGGTGAAGGAGGTCAGGGAGGAGGAGCACCGACTGCAGAACTCAGTCAAGGTGAGGAGGAGACGTAGTTTGTCTTTTTTTAAGTAGATAAGTAGGTAGGACAAAAAAAAAATCTGTTTGTAAATGTGAGTTCCTGTTTGCAGGAGCTGATGGAGCAGCAAAAGATTCTGCTGAAGGAGAAGCAGTCGACTGTGTCAGCGGTGGAGCTGGAGGAGCAGAAACTCCTCGCGCTTCAGTCTGAAATCCACACAAACAGAGCAGGTAAAAAAATACATGCTCTTGAGATTTGTTTTTTGTCTGGAGTATTGATTACGTATGACTATGTAAACAAATACACAGCAAATATTTTTTATTTTTATTTTAATTTTTTCTTTATTTTTGTTTTTATTTTTTCTATTATTATTATTATTATTATTATTTTATTTTCATTATTTTTATTATTATTATTATTATTATTTACCAATAATATAATACAGAAATAATATAAAATAATGTAAAAATACAAATGACTGCCTTCAATAAGATTTATATACATTTGTATTCTATTGTTTAACAATAACAATTGTATTGTTATTGTTTTGTTTTTAGTTTATAGAAATATATATTTTTGTTTCCTGCAACATTTGAATAATACACACTAGAAAGGTAAATAAACGAAAGGTAAAAAAAATCAAGTCATTATTATACTTATATAATAATATATACTGTGTTGACCAAAGTAATCATTATTATTATTTATATTTTTTAACCTCAATTCAAGCATTTCGTGACATTAAGCCTTTTATTTATTTATTTATTTATTTGTGCAGAGCTGAAACTGATTTTACAGGAGCTGCTGGCAGAGCAACAGGCACTGGAGGATATGAAAACCAAACGCACCCAGGGTGTCCAGCAGCTCCTCGCGCAGAAGGGCGAACTGGACAGGACACAGAGTGAACTGGACAAGACCAGGGAGGAACTGGAGACGGTGACGGACAGACTGGACAGAAAGCAGACCAAGGTGGAGAGCAGGAGGAGTGAAGTGAGAAGGCGGACGGATGAGCTGGAGACCACGGTGCAGGAGGTGGAAACCACAGTGAAGGAACTGGGCCGAGTCCAGGAGGAAGTGGACAGGAAGAAGGTGGAACTGGCGTCACTGCGACAGGAAGTGGATTCCTACACGAAGGAAGCCGAGTCATATCTGGTGAACATGACGCAACAGAAAACCGAACTACAGGTCAGTTATGATATACGGCGACGGATGAAATGTAACGTGACAAAAAAAAAAAAACGCGATTCAACACGTCGTCTTCTTTGCGCAGGAGCTGCAGGAGAAACTCAGGAGGAGACAGGACGAGAAAAGGAGTCTGAAGGAGCAGTGTACGCATCTGGAGGCCAGACGGAGGCACGCCGAGCGGTACGTACGCAACCGCTACGCAAACAAACGCGTAAACAAGTTACGAAAAAAACTGCTACCTCACAGTTAAAGCTAACCATGTGTATGTGTGTCAGGTGTCTTTCTGCGGTGGAGGCAGAGCTTACAAAACAGAGAGAGGAGTACATCCGCCGACAGCACACGGACAAAGATGCAGCAGCCACTCAGGAACTAGCAAATGTTTTGTCTTTTTGAAACAATATTAAATTATATATAATAATAAAATTTATATATATGTGTGTAAATAAATATTTTGTTTTTTAAAAGTGTTTCTCTAAATACAAAATACTTCAATTAGAGTAGCATAAACAGACCATTCTGTAATTGTTAATACTTCTATTGCAATATATTTTGAACGGGTTGTGACATCATCAACAACGAGGCCGACCGTTTTACGGCTGCTTCGCGACACCGCCTCCTAGTCTAGACATGTGTAGGTCATTCCTGTCAATTATACATCCACGAGGTAACTGTTTGGGGGAAATGACAACCGGGCTCAACAAGCTGTGAAAGCCCGACATGGAAGCGCGGGAAGCGCAGCGTGAAAGTGACATTACGATTACTAGTATGTATAACATGAAACGAGGATGTTTTTGGAGTTGAGACGAAGATGAGCTGAGTTTCCCCCCCCCCCAAAAAGAGCTGATGGAGAACGAGACCGAAACGAACATATAAGTCTTCACCGAGACTCGTCGTCACGTCACCAACAGCAGACATTAAGATGGCCGCTAAGATGATGATGAGTGAGTACGTCTGGATGTCTAAAATACATCAGCAGTTATTTTGTTTACGAATATCCACGATTTTATTGGTTAAGGGATTTTTGTTTTTGGTCTGAAAACTTCGAGAAACACCGCTTCGTCTCATTTGCTAATGGTAACTTTAATGTTTTGATGTAGCCTCTTTTGTTAGCCAAACTTGCTACAGGAGTTTTACAAAGAAGCTGAGTTTATTTACAAAGGTCTTGTCACGCGGAAAGTGGGATTTATTTATTATTTTTAATAAATTGTATATCAACATATAGCACACTATCTACAGAGCTAGCTTTAGCTTTTTCGATGCCCTATGCGAGATTATGTTTTGGTGCCCTTTCTACCCACCCATTAAGCCCCCGAGCCGTTAAAGAGCGACTGTATGTAAAAAAAAAAAAAAAAAGGAACAAACAAACACTGCACTAACATTAATAATACAAATTAAAATAGTCTTTTTCGATCCAATTTTATTTGTAAATCTTTTGTAAATGCTACTTGTTCTGCTATCTGTCCTTTAGATGGCAGCAGAGACGTTCTATTAGCGCCTCACATGGGTTTGACCGTAAACATCCTTTTCATGAAGAAAACTTAGCTAATACGTCATGTGTTATATCCTTTTGTAAATAAATGGTGGAATAAAAATCACATAGGGCTGATATATTTTATGTACCTATTATTTCTACACGGGTACTTTAAGAGTGAAGGGCTATTGAACAAAATATTAATCAAAAGCTTGAAACATTCACCGCTAGAGGTTGCTGAACACCCAGACATTCCCTTTGCCTTATTAGTTGGGGATGAGGATTTCATCGAGTGCCAGTATTTTCTATGAAGCAGCTACTGTATTTTCTTTTTCACTTGTAACGATCACATGTCAATGATGGTGACCATTTTCAAAAAGAAATATTATATATTATAATTTTAAACGGGAAATATAATTTAATTTGTAACATTTGTAGCCTTTTTTGAACCTTCAACTGAAAAAGAGCAACTTTCATAAGTTTACCAGCCAATAGAATTCACCACCATTTTAGTAGTGCATCGTATAAAGTTTCAGTTCTGTTGAACTGCAAATAAAATACCACACAATAAAATGTACATGCAAACATCCATTCCAACACAATATATTCATTACTGAGACAGTAAAACTCATTTTCACCGGGGGCCACGTCAACAATACAGTTCCTGTTGAAGGGCCGGTTTTAAACAGAACACTGTATAGATCAGGGGTCCCCAACCCCCGGTTCGCAGACCAGTACCAGTCCATAGGTTCTTTGGTACCAGCCTGCAGTGGGACACAGTGAAAAAATGGAAAAAAAATTCTAATTTACTTGATTCAAAAAAATTATTAATTTGACGATAATCTGGCAATATTTTAAAATAAAAGTCATTCAGACTTTGATACAAACAGAATAGAGTCTGGTATAGATGTAGCTCCTCCATCACAGACTAATACATGTATCTGCCTTTGATTATTATTTATTCAAGCTACAAATATTGTTCATTGCTGTGTAATAAAAAAAACAACTTTTAATTTCATAGGTTGATCAACTCTGCTGCATGGACTTCATTAAATGCTTTTTAAGCTCCCGCGGGCCCCCGGGCCTTGAGTTTGACACCTATGCTGTAGTACAATTACATACAATAAATAATAAAAAATACATACACTGACCTGCTGTGCAATGTAAAAAAAAATACACATTTGATCTTGAGTAAAAAGTGTTGATACCGTTATGTTGTTTTGCTGTTAGCAAGCTAAAAACTTGAGCCTGATGAGTAAACGTGTTTGGGAGGGGTGTAAAGAGGCTAAAGACCCACGAGTGACTTAGGAACCACAGTTCTGGGAGGGTGACATCAGAAGACCCCCAAATAATGACTCTTTTCATGGCAGAACGTTAATTTAGCGGCATGTTTGGGACTGATCTTCTACCGTTTGGTACTCGTCAGACCACAGAGACGGCGCGGTCTACAAAGGTACAGTCCACGTGTGTGGGCCTCGGCCCCACCCCTGAATGGTGGGACAGACGGCGGTCGTAAAGGGACTGAGAGGTGTTTCACACTTGAATGTGTAATAAAAGGCTCGTGTTACCATCCTGTCAGGACCTGGAGGTGCAGCCAGCCGGTTCTCCCGGCCCAGACAAAAACACCTTTCTCTGGGCACGGGAGCTGGTGGCTTGGCCCCAGCTCAACACGTTCCCCTGGTGGAAGGGAGGTTCATTCACAAAAAGCGGTCAGCGACTGTTTTGTCTATGGCAGCACGGAACTCGTTTGTAGTCTTTGGGTAGTTTTCGGGGGCAGGTGACGTGCGGGGGCGCACATCCCGCAGAAGCGAAAGTGATATAGAATTCATTGAGTATGTTAGAGTCGGCAACAGATCAGTGTTGATGGAACAGACCGGGCCTTGTAGTTTCGGTCAACTCGGGTTTTTGTCAATGGTTTCATGTGAAGTTCACATCCCTTGTAGTTTTTAGGTACCAGATGAAGCCGGCACTGCAGCATTTCTTTTTTTTATTATTATTATTCATATTTACAAAATCATGTTAAATATTTACAAATCATTTAAAGAAAAAAACAAAGATGCACATTTAGGTAAAAATATTACGAATTGCATAATAAATTATATATCGATTGAGCAGAAACTTAATACAGTCTGAACTACAAACATTTAGGGTCCAGCGAGTGAACAGACGGACAAGTCCATCCAAGGATCCAGAAAGACCTAAAAAAAAAAAAGCCCACTTTGGTCACAGACCAATGTCTGGATTGACATCCCCCCCACCACCCCCTCGAAGTTTAATGCTTTATCTGACACATTTAGCATCTCGCGGACTTATAAAAACAATAAAACGCTCTTTACACCCTTGTAATTCTCTTAACTGAATTGAGCCACGTGGTCCCTTTTACTGACAGAGATGGGGAAAGGAAAAGAGGAGGAGTGGACAGACAGAGGTGAGCAGACGAAGGGTGTCCCTCGAGGAACATTTCTGAAGACAATTTATATATTTTGGAGAGATAAACCATCTGCCTGTTTGCTCTTTTCATAAATTCTCCAGTCAGTTTTACTGGCTTGTCTCAGCCGCTGTCTCCCCGTTCCTGATGTGTGTTGTTTCATAGCACGCCGCCTGTCTTCACTGTTTGGACAAGTGCATCAGAGGACTGCATTGTTATCTGGACATCAAATAAAACTGCAAGGCCCTTTTGAACAGCATTGTGTCAGATTTCCGATTAGCTGTTTGTTAGCCGATGACATGTCATAAATACTGACCCTAAATATTCTACAGACCCCGGAAAGAAGTTTGGAGTCGAAACGTCCACATGATGGTTGGTTTCCTGTTGGAGTAGATTATCTTACCAGCCTCGTATAAGTTTATCAGTGCTTGGCTCGACAGTTATCGGGTGGTGTTTCCATTTCACGCTCGTAGCCAAGTGCTGTCTGTAGGTTCTACAAAACAAACTCTTATTTGTCATCTTTCGGTTTGGACAGCCGAGACTTGAAATGTGCTAAAATCGTATCTAATGATTGCGGATAAAATAATGCATTTTTTGATTTCCTTAATTTCTGGCATGCTGGTTACATCGATGCACACACTACCACCTAGCAAATGTAAAAAAAATGGAAACATGACCGTGTGCAAATTGTGCAACAGTGAGTTTTCCCAGCACTGCAGCATTTCAAGTCTACAGTATCACCGCACTGTAAGACATTTTGCCATTAGCACAGACATCTGGCGTTAATGTTAGCTACAACAGTCCTGGTAAAGACACCAGAGCTAATGTTAGCTATAACAGTCCTGGTACAGACACCAGAGCTAATGTTAGCTACAAAAGTCCTGGTACAGACACCAGAGCTAATGTTAGCTACAAAAGTCCTGGTACAGACACCAGAGCTAACGTTAGCTACAACAGTCCTGGTACAGACACCAGAGCTAATGTTAGCTACAAAAGTCCTGGTACAGACACCAGAGCTAATGTTAGCTATAACAGTCCTGGTGTAGACACCAGAGCTAATGTTAGCTACAACAGTCCTGGTACATGATGGGGATTTGTACCAAAAGAGTTCATATGTTGAATTTAATATTTGTAATTGCACTGTGAGATCGTACCATCTGAATGTAGTTGACAAATGAAAAATGTATAATTGAAAAAATACCTGTATAAATATAGGTGAGTTAAACAATTTTGTTGTTCAAATTCATAAATATGTCAGTTGATTTACTGTTACTATCAGTCCAAATAATTGTCTCCCATCATTGGTTCATTGGCTTCACTTCCAGCCATTCATCTCTTTGAGCTTGCTAATACTTGTGCCTTTAATAGGTGTGGGGGGCGGGGAGGTGTAAAGAGGCAGGGTGGGGGTGCTGCACTTGCTTGTCTTCTTAGTAGGGGCTTTCCACAGAGTGCGAGAGGACTTCTTTTTCGGTTTGTCCTTCTTGTCTTTATCGGTGGCAGGAAAAACAGTCTGCAGAGGTGAGAGTCGGGAATTAGAAGAGATAAGACTTAAAACAAGGGCCTGACAAATAGTCAGAATTGACGCAAACACCTCCGACACCAAGTACAAACTAGAGATATTCATGCAAATTCCAACCCAAGAGTTGGACTATTATCATCGTCTGTCCGTCATCACATTTGCCGTTTCTTTTTAATACGGTCAGATCAGAACTTACGCAGCAGCACAGAGCGTAGCAGCTGAGCTTGGCAGCATTTTGTCCTGTCCCTGCGTAACGGTTCTTTTTTGGCAGCAGCAGAACGAAGGACACAGCCAGAGACAGATGGTAGAAGCTGTGGACATAGGCGTAGTCCCACTCCTGCAATAAGGAGGAAACACCACATCCGTCACGGAGGAACTTGACGTCTCTCTCTTGACATATCCGCCTTACAATTCAACGGCTTAACAACCAGTAAAATATTACATATCAACAATACATCAATTTTAAAAAAGTTAATTGTTTTAATAGACGCTTTGTTGATTACCTACGATCCATGAATAGACGTATGCACGAAGTCAAGTCAAGTTTGATCTATTTTTATCTGTACATTTTTACATCTGTCGACTCCATTCACGGATTAGTCGAAACTCACCGTATAATTACAACTATTTATATTCAAAATTGCCCCGAACCCTGTCATCTAGTCCATTGTTGCCTGGATGCACCATTTGTCTGGACCAGGACTATTGTAGCTATTGTTAGCGCTGGTGTCTGTGTTGATAGCACTACGTTATGATATGATATTGAGGCGATATTGTAGGCTTGGCTTTTTACATTTTGTCGCATAATTTCCGCGCAATTGTGCTTTTTTCCGAGCTATCGTGGCAAGGGTTCATAACTGCAACCTACAGGCAAGTACTACTTACTAAGTGTCGCATACACGTTGTATGTAACACAAGGTATATACTGTAATAGTGGTATCTCTGTAATTTGATATGTCTAAAAAAAATCTTCCCTTTCTAGCGCTATTAAAAAAAAGTAACTATTGCAGCTTAACATTGGCAACAAGACGCGAAGACTTACTTCAAAGTAGAATCGCAGCATCAGAGCTAGCGCGCCGAAGCAACAGCCCGGACCAACCTGCTGTGTGTACACGGTCTTCTCTGGATACAAAGCCCGCAGCTGCTTCATCTTCTGCAGCTGTGAGAAATGAGGAATCGCTTTGTCACCGATGACGCAAAGAAGAAATCACAATAAATGCTACATGGGTAGCCATTTTTGATGACCACTCACCCATTTGACAGTAATGATGAAGACGGCAGATCCTATTGGTCCAGAGTATATCCCGTAGCCCCAGCGGTCCTGGTAGATCCTGACGGCGGTGGTCAACACGCCAAACATGGTTAAACTGGAGCGCTGTGGTTCATCAAAGTCACCTATGGCTGAAGTAAAATAAAGAACCGCCCCTTAAACAATTTATACATCGTCACTTTGTCGTAAAGTATATTTGTAAGGAAACATACGGCACAAATTTGTTATTGGTAATAATGTACGCAGATTTGTTTGAGCATAAGTCGCACCAGACTATGAGTCTATTTAGGTATTTTTTTCCATTCACCGAAAAAATTGGGCTACGGCTAAATTCCGTGAAACAGTTTTTGTTAGCTTTTTCTTACGTTGCGTGTTTGGTTGTGCCCTTTGTTGAGTAACTGAGTCTAGGGATCGTACAGAAGTCCAATCATTACGTCATACGTTTGAATACATTGTGATCAAACATCATACGATAGAATGTGTATTTAAACATATATGTTAAACACTTGTATTTACAGACCAAAAATATGTACCTATCAGTGTGACCCACATGGACAGTGCTGTCCCATAAACGCTGAAGTACTCCAGTATGTCGTATTTCATGAAGCACAGGATGGACAGACCAGGTCCTTCACACGCATGGAAAATCTGAAACACATTTAACAAGAAAAAATGGTGAGTTTTGGTTTAAAAAAAATCTTAAAGAAATCTTTAAAAATATATATAAGATAAATAAACACAGACAGAGTAGTACACAGTAGTACCTATAATAACAAATACCAAAAATTCTATTTTTTTATTCGAAACGTGCAACAACTGTGTACAGTCCAAAACAAAGTACCGAAGACAGAGGTTAGACCTACGTATGTGACCACATCAGTTCCAAAATTTACAAGACTTTCCTCCAATCAGGAGGTTGTGGAAGGTTCCAGGAAGTCCCTTTAAAAGCACCCCAAATACTTAGGGCGGGTACTGAAAATCTCCTTGTACCGAAGGGTAACACTGGGTTGATATTCTCCTCCAGTAAGTGTAATTTCGTGAGAAGCTTTTGGTGTTTATGAATCATCTCTAGAAGTATTCAGTAAAGGTTTTTTTTTTTTTTTAAAGCAAGTAATGCCCCTGAAAAAGTATGAACCCATTTTAGATTCCCAGACGGTAGTACAAATGTACAAAAAGAAATCTGTTTTTATAAATTTTAAAGTATTGAAAATATGGTATCATTAGAAATTTAAACTAATACTTGAATTACTCAGTTTAGGCCACAATGTTTATGGTAAAATCCTGCAATGTATTTTGATGTTGTGTCCTGCCAAAGCTAAAATTACACCCCTGGTCTTTCAAATTTGAGTCAAATTTACTGCGAGTTGCATCATTTGTTGTTTGTGTTTTTCGTCTTTGACGCATAGAATCCGTCCGTCCGTAAAGTCCGTTCTCTCAAAAACCAAACCCAAACTTTACCTACGGTATATTTCACCCTTTCGGAATCATTCAGCCCCTGGAAGAATTTCCAATCTAGCAACAGACCCTGACTTTCGGAAAACCTGAGATGAAAGAAAGCTACCAATACCACTTCCAACCTCTAACATCCTTCAAATTATATATATCGTATATCTGTTTATACCATTGGTTCTTATGTTTTCATCGAAAATAATGATCAAATCTTTCAGTTTTTTCCAGAAAGTTACAGTTAATTTTAAAATTTACAGATTAGATTCTCTCACCGCTGTGAAGAACATGGTGAAGAAGTAGACCATGGCCTCCATGTGGAAGCCTCTCTTTGCTGCCACACTGGCCGTAGGCAGGAACACCAGGCTGCTGACGGTGGGAAGCAGCATCTTGGCAATAAAAGATCCCATCGTTGGAGGTGAAAAATCGAAAGATCAGTTGATGAAGGAAAAAGGTTGAGAAGTTCTCAGGAGACGAGGTCCGAGAAACAAACAAACAGACACGTCCTTTAGTCTTCAGCGTAGGTGGCGGAGTGTGTATATCAGTGGGTGGATTGCATTCATGTCATAGTACACACACACACACGTTGCCCCTTTAAAGTTTAAATGTCCCTCAGCACGTTCATTCACAGAGGCCTGTATGTGCAGTGTCATCACTCAACAGCTGTTGGCATACCAGTACTACCAGGGGTAGAAGTGGGAGGGGCTTAGAGCTTTCACTCACACTGAGAGGGCAGACAGCTGAGGTTGGTTGAAAAGGCCTAGCATTCTGATTTAAATTGTTTTTACGTTTAAGATTTTCCAGTGACCCCGTGTGTGGTATCTTCATGTTATCTTCTTTTTTTGTATAACTTGGTAGAGCAGTGTTTCCCAAACTTTTTTTTTTCTAGGGGGACCCATATTTTAAAAGTCACAAAACCTTCACGACCAATTATTTGTAAACTCCTGAGAAACATGATGCGAGACGACCCCCCCCAAACAAAACAACAACTCTTACGACCCACCTGAGGGTCGCGACCCAGTCTTTGGGAAACATTGTGGTAGAGTATCTTATAATGCCGTTAAGCATACGTTAACTGTTGTATAACTGGCAGAAATGTATCTTTGGTTTTTTTTGCAAGCAAAATGTGTCCCGAACTAGAGAGACAAAAAAAGCAGGACATAGGACATATTTACACATATATACAAATACATATATAAATACATATATACATATGTACATACATACAGTGCCTATCATAAGTATTCACCCCCTTGGATGTTTTATCCTTTTAGTGCTTTCATAAATCTTTCATGGTCAATAAAATTTGGCTTTTTTTTAGCACAAAAATGTATTGGAAAAAACTCTTTTAATGTCAAAGTGAAAACAGATTTCTACAAAGTAATGTCAATGAAATAAAAATATATAAAAAAATATAATTGTTTGCATAATTAATCACACCCTTCCAGTCAGTATTTTGTAGATGCACCTTTGGATGCAATCACAGCAGTGAGTCTGTGTGGATAAGTCTCGATAAGTACATCTGCCCACAGCAATTTTGCTCCACTCTTCCTTGCAAAACCGCTCAAGCTCTGTCAGGTTGGGTGGGTATCGGGCATGAACAGCCCTTTTTAAGTCCAGCCACAAATTCTCTATAGGATTGAGGTCTGGGCTTTGACTCGGCCACTCCAGAACATTTACCTGGTTCTTTTTTAACCATTCCTGTGTAGCTTTTGCAGTATGCTTCGGATCATTGTCTTGCTGGAAAATAAATCTCCCAAGCCGTAGTTCTCTTGCAGACTGAATAAGATTGTCC